TGCGCCCGCCCCAAGATCCTTTGCGGCCGCCCGAGATTTTTCGGACGGGAGCGTTTGTTTTTGCATAGATCTACTGCTTGCTAGCAGTAGATCTATGCAAAAAAACAGAGGGTAACACTTTAACCCTTGCAGTAAGGCAGTAGCCCCCCTGCAAGGGTTAGGATATGATTTCCCTGGAGTTCTGCTTTAAGAAATGTGATCTATAATTCTAAGAAAGAGGGAAAGAAGCAGATCAATAATAATGCAGATTAAAGGTAAAGTGACTGGACTTTAGATTTAGTACTATTTAAATTTACTATAAAATCATTTGTTTTATTTATTTATGGAGCCGTTTTTTGTGTGTGGGTGTATATTTATCAGAAAGCATTTCCTACGCATAACATAATAGCAGCATATTCAGGTATAATAGCCACAAAACGCAGCCAGCACATTGCTCCTGGAAACAGATGCTGAGATTTTCTGCACAGAGGTGGCTTTCTTTCAAGAGTGAGTTCTGCAAGACGTGTATCTAATTTCTCTTGTCAGACATCTCCTATAACTGTATACATCAGTTCTCTGCAATCAATATCCCACGCTGTTTATTATTCAGCAGATCAGCAGTCTCTCCTTCATTAGAACAGCAGGGTTCCTCATGGAAGGAAACAAAGAGGACAACAAATACTTTGAATTGATACAGTTTTTATAGTCTGCAAACATTTTTGTTATTAAGGATAGCCTAACATACAGCAGAACCTCCAAAGGCTCTGTCTTCTAAACCCCAAATGTCCCATCCTCACTTCACTTGAACATCATTCATCTTTGATTTTCAACAGACATACCTGAATTAAGGGCTAAATTCACCTTTTAGATCATGTTTAGTGTTACACTGATATTCAGGGTTACATAGTTAAATAGTATTTGAGGTTGAAAAAAGACACATGTCCATCAAGTTCAGCCTTTGTGTGTGTGTGTGTGTCTGTGTGTGTTGTGCGTGCGTGCGTATCAGGGACGTGCGGTCAGGGGAGGCAGAGCCACACCTAGTAATATGAAGAAAAAAGGAGTCGGCTTCAAGTCTGAAGCTGACAGCTTTTTCTCCATTCAGAGCAGCTTGTTACAGGTTATACAGCAGGGAAATCCTCCCCGCCGCATAACCTGTCATGGTCGGAGCGCTGCCATATAATTACAGGTAGCGCTGCATCCGGCTTTTGACAGGTAGTTAGGTTACACAGCAGCGGGCTTCCCCACTGCTTGTGTAACCTAACTTGGTGAGGCAAAAGCTATCACAGCCACTACTCTGTGTTAGAGGCCTGAGCTCTGTGGATGGCTTGGACCAATGGCAAAGTGCCAAGCTGTCCAATAAAAAAAAAGAAAAAAAATCCACTGAGGCGATCGATCTCGATGCCTCAGCAGTGACTCACCAATGACGAGCAACTGAGGGACAGGCTCCTCCCTTCCTCCTCCCCACACAGCTTAGTTACCGAGCTGGGGGTGGGGGCAGAGCTTCGGTGGGACGGGCAGAGCTTCAGCGGGATGGAGCGGAGCTTCAGAGGGCTGGGGGATGCCCCAGCCAGCCCAAAAGGCACGGCACATCACTGGTGTGTATATGAGTCCCTGTGTGGTCTAGTATTTAAGAAGTGGCCATTGCTACTCAGACTTTCTTTTACCTTCATCAGTGAAAAGAGTTTAAACAACTAATAGTTTTGTTAGACTGATATGGTGATTGAACAATTTTTTATCATCTATCTGATAAGGGTTAAATTATAGATATGTATATTTTCTCATACCCTACCATGCCTGCTATTTGTAACAAAATGTTTTGTCAAAGATCTGCTTTTCTTGGGATGAAGTTAATTACACAGCAAAGGGAAATGTTCACTGTTATATTTTTCAGCGGGTCAGTTTCCCCGACTGACACTTCACTTCCAGCTGAAGAGGAACAGAGGGATGTACATCATACAGTCCTATGTTCCATCCATTTTACTGGTGACCATGTCATGGGTCTCTTTTTGGATCAGTCAGTCGGCAGTTCCTGCTAGAGTTTCTTTAGGTAATTGCTAATAGCTACAGAAATTACATTAACAGTGTGAATAACATAGGCGGGGGGTAGGCAACGTCAGCAGTCCAGTTGTTGTGGAACTACAAGCCCCATGAGGCATTGCAAGACTGACAGCCACAGGCATGACTCCCATGGGCAAAGGCATGAAGGTATGAGATTGCCTACCTCCTGGCATTCACTAAACATCACTAAACTGATTGCAAGTCAAATTTCCTGAAAGAGTTACTCTGTTATATAAGATTCCATTGTGCAAGACAGAACAGTGAGACAATCACCTATGCAGTTAGTGTATTAGCCATCGTCTTTCATTTTGTTTGGGATATCTAAAACTATTGCCTTTCATTGACCAAGGATGCAGAACAGAAGTTCTGACATGATTTGCCTGGATCACCGACTAAAAGAAAAGTTGTCCTTTAAAAATGAACTTTGCTTTTTACAATCTTTATGTATAAAACCCACATAAACGCAACCAAATGTTTTTATTTGTCAAGGTATCACCACTGTACTCACAATGACCACTCTGATGGATTCTGCACGATCTTCTCTGCCCAGAGCCTCTACCATCAAAGCTCTGGATGTCTACTTCCTGATATGCTATGTCTTTGTGTTTGCTGCCTTGGTGGAGTATGCATTTGCTCACTATAATGCAGACTACATGAGGAAGGAGAAGACAGTGTGTGCCAAGCAGGAAAAGAAGGTTAGAAATGTTTAAGATAAGCAATACATACAGAATTTAGAACAGTGTTACAAAACATGAAAAATAGGATTTTTTGTACTCACCGTAAAGTCATTTTCTCTGCTTTCAATGGAGGACACGGCTCTGCTTTAGATTATCACCTACTGGGTATAGTGCCACCTGCAGGTGCAGGATGCTAAGTAAAACTAAAAAACAGCAGTGCACAGATCCCTCACACTGCAGTGCAAAAACACAGCAATGCACAAAGAAACCCCAAATACTGAGATGCACAAAGCCAGTGGGTGGGTGGTCTGTACTCAAATGAAGGCAGGGGAAAAAAAGTTATACTGACCCAAACCTCTGAGTCGGCTTGTTCTTAGACCCATCCCCGGAGCCTCTCTCCCCCTTCACTGCTTTTCTGAGGCTTCCCCAGTTAGTTTTAGTTCAGCGCAGAGACAGGGCTTAGGAAACCTATAGCCTTCCTACATTTTAAAAGATTGGGAAAACATCCTCTGTACTGTGTTGTGCAAGTGGTCATAATGTTCAGATAGGTTGAGGTCCTAAGAGGCTTGCCATTGCATAAAGCAGTATTTGAAACATACTGTAACATGTGGTGAAGGGTTAAAACTCGTTAATTTATTTTTGTCTCTGTCCTGCTGGGGAGATTTCTCTTTATTTTATACCCTACAGACGCAACAGAAAATTAGAAGAAATCTACCTAAACTAAGGAAAAGTCCCATCTCAGTTGTCAGTGGAACATTTGTCTCCATTGAAAGATTTGGTCCTCCTCTTGTTACTGTCAAAACTGCAAAGAGTCTATTTATAAACTATTTGCAGAGCCAATCGCCATGTGAATCTCTGTGAACATCGTTCTGTGCAAATGGAGGCAAAAATAAACGTTCTTAGTATATTTTCTTTTTGGGTTGAATGTACCATTCAGAAAATACTGCATTATGGCCACTAGATGGAGCTGAGCAGCAAAGGAAATAAATACTTATGTGTAACATGTGGCATCTTGGCCAAGTAATGTGCCTTACCGTCTGTAATATTCTCTTATCACTGACTTTGGGTCTGCAACCAAACTTGAAGTCAGAAAGGATTAAAGATCTATCCAATTATTATGCCAGCCTATGTTGTCACTGAGGAGATTTGCCCTCGCTTCCTGTCCAGGAGATATGGCAGGCAGTGAGAAAAAATCTTTCCAATGAAGGGGAAAACCCATAATTGACAGTTGTCAAGAAAACAGGTATCCCCGTATGATGATTTCTCCTCATCTTCTTTTCCAGTGAGTGACACATAACATTTTGGATTTCTCAAGACGTTCTGTTAACAGAACAAGAATCACCTTAATGGAAACAGGAGTAGCAATAAACACATGGCAGAGGTTCAAATCATTTCCTCTTGTGCAAAACTAATTTAAAAAAAAAAAAGAGTTTAACTGTATTTTAAATGCATTTTCAATAAATATAAGTTTTGGTTAATAATTCTTTGTGTCATTTTAGGTGTCAATGAAGGACGGCAATCACGCCATAGTCCTGCTCACCTTGTCATTACTGGGAGCAAATCTTAACTTGGTGGAGCAATACACTAACATTCCAGGGCTAATAAGTGGACCCAGACATACAGGAATGGCAAGCAAACTGCATTCTAAGGAGCTGAAACCTGGCCAAAGAGGTGGCCGACTGAGGACTCTACTGAAGCCTATAGATGCTGATAGCATTGATGTTTATGCAAGGGCAGTTTTCCCTGCCGCCTTTGCAGCAGTGAACCTTATTTACTGGGTAGTCTACACAAAGTAAGAGTAGTTGTTTCCTTGTGATCTACAGTATATGTATCAATCAATATATTCACCAACTAAAATATGTATGTTACTTACAGGAAAAAGTAAGGGAATTGAACTACAGTGTTTAATACCAGTTCTAAAAGTTATTTTTTTAGCATGTTTAGTTACTAACTCTATTTGGATATGTGTTACATATTGTCCTACGATCCTGTGTCCTTGAAGATGCAGAAATTGTGCAGGTTTGTTTCCGAATATGTTTCTAAATAAAGTATAAAATATTTATACTGTATATTTAAAATGTGTACTTAGTACTGGAGTGGCACTTAAAGCCTAACTATGAGCAATTTTTTTTTTATAAATAGTTCCCCTGGGGATGTTAAACACAAAAAGGCAGCTCGAGCTGCAAAACTCACTTCTCCAGCACTGTAATTCCTTTCTGCCAGTAGCTGTCCTCTGGGTTAAATGACATCATCATGTCATCGCCACTCTCTGCATCATTGAGGACCATGGGTGGTCCTCCTACACAGAAGATCCAAAGAGGAAGAGGACCCTGCACGCCATGTGACCTGCCTGAAGACAATGTAGGTGAGATGGACAAGGGTACAGGGATGAGGGAGACCAGGCAATGCACAAGGTACCACCATTTGAAGAATTGTAGAAGTGTCACCAGCACACCAGTCCTTTTAAGATAGCAAAAGCTTCATTTATTGAAGTTCTGTGTCATATGAACAACAACATTTCGGTAAGGAGTGCAACAAGGATAGTATCACCATTCGACGCGCATCCTGGGAAGTCAACCAGCACGCTGGTATAGTGTCGCAAGTTTCCCATTCCAGTCAGGTAACAACTGTAAACAACAAGCACACACAAGTACCCCAACGCTGCCACCTGATGTCAAGGTAACCACCGGGAGATGAGTTGGGGTGCCATTCAGCAGCACACTGTACCTCATGCTAGGTGCGCTGTGCAATATCATGTGTTAAGCATATGGTATCGTACATTTAACACAGCATGGTGTGAGCAGGCCCTAAGGGCTATGGAGCAGCTGTGCTTTAACTACACACTTCTAAGATTCATCAAGCTATTTTGTGGACTAGAATCCTTGTGTGATTATTTTTCCTACTGCCCACACACACCAGACACATGACATAGGATAGCTTTTCACCACCTACAGGTTGTTAGCTGACTGGTCTGCTAGGAAACCATAAACACACACACAGAGCCCTGTCTGGCACATCATGGACACTAACAGAGTTAACAGCGAGTTCTCTGATTCTTCAGCCAATCAGTTTTTGAGTTGTTACCTCACCTGTGAGGTGTTACCTCGCCAGCTGTGAGGAAGGTTCTTGCCTCCTGAAGTGGCCATTGGTTATTTGGACCATCCAGTTCTGATAGCCAGTTTGTGGTTAGTATTTCCAACTCCAGCATATCAACCAGATCATAATGAACATCTGTGATATCATCTCTCTTCTATATTTTAATATCATAGTAAGTATAAAAAAAATACTGCTGGGGCATCCTTGAGGGACTGCATGTAGTAATGCTAAGGCTTGCTCCAGGACCTAACCAGCAACTCACAAATTACACTCTCGCTTTAAAATCTTACAAAATGGGCCATCATGGATTTATAGCCCTTACTAAGTTAAAGTCCCTAATAAAATGTAGCATCTATTTGTCTATAGAGTTATACAACAAAGCAACATAAAGTATGAACTATAACCTGACTTGGGATCTTTGAAGGCACAAATACCCTAATAATATATCTGCAAGCCTGAATAATAAGAGGTCCCCGTGCCACACCACACATCCTTGGGGGAATTGATTAAGATCCCACTTGAAAAAACATATGAATCAACTCTTAATTTGAGTAGGAGACGGGATAAACTGAGCTCCATACCTGGGATGGGCCCTATATCAAATACCAATTTAAATCCTAATCTTAGCTTTACAGATCCTAGCATAAAAATACTTGCTATGACTTTATGAGGCAATAATCCCACAATGTCCAAAGCTGCATCCTTTCCCTATGGCCAGAAGGGAGGGTGGATGAGAATTTAATTACCTCCCTCCACCCCTTAAAATGCCAAGCTTCATCGCAACAAGATCCTACCATACCCACCAATCAGATGAGTCTGCCACCAAACGTCTCCGCTTATCAAATTAACCCATTGTACAATCTTTTCCCTATAAACTCAGTCATGTTGGTCTTTTGCTTGGACCTTCAGCCCTGTTTCTGGCCTAACTTTTTCTTTTTTTTATTATTTACATGCAGAAAGTATTAATTTGGGGATGCTTAAGTCCATAAGCTTGAGTGTTCTCTTTTGTAAGGTTATACTGTAGTTATGCAGGCTGTACAAGTCACTGGAAGTCAAGTCTTTATAATGGTTATAGAATCCAACACCCAATCAGTATGTAAAGAAGAAAGAATCATGGAGGTAAGATCCATATGTGTTGATTATCTCCATGTTTTATCACCTTATCTCAATCTTTATTTAAAGCATCCTCTAGCAAATTACAATACAGAAACAACTTATAGACATTCTTATTTTTTATTATTAACCTGCGTCTTCCCTGTCCCATACCCCATGCCAGCTCTCTACATGGTACTTATTTTCAATGGTGCCAGAAAGACAACACTTCCTTGCTAGCATGCTACTGGGTCAGCACCCTTGTTAATGATATCAGGTTTCATTTTGAAAAGCTTGGTCTAATAAGGACTAATAAGAACATTATTAGCTAATTTCCTCAAATTATTTCTGCTTATTGCTTGTGAAACCACTTTAAAGTGTATGGAATGGCATTGTTTTAGTTTTGGATAGAGAAAGGAAGTATTAGACTTTTTGTGACGTTTTTAATTGATGGCTGGCTGTGTCTCCACTGAGGAGTTTTAGCCATGTATTTGTCCCAGTGACCACAGAAAGTGACCACAAAAACAGAAAGTTATGAGTTTCGAGTTGCCACCAGAGCAAGAGGGTTGGGAATATCCTCCAGTGGGTTAAAAGGTTTCCAAAAAAACTCTCTAAGATGGAGATTCTGTTCACTTTGGAGATATTTCTTCTTATTCCCTGTTGTGTCTTTAGGACAGGAAGTGATAAAATATCTTTCCATCAGGACACAGACAGCAAAAAAAATATTTTGATATTTTGACCTGTATACTAAACAACAATTCTCCACATATAATGGCGGCAGTGTAAATTCCTGTTACATTGATGGTTAGTGTAAAATTCCCTGTTACATTGCTGGTCAGAGTAAATGCATTGTTGTCAGTAGAAGAAGGAACCTCTATCAATTGTGTCAATGAAAAAGGGCTGTCAGTGGAAGAATGACCCCCTATCATTGGTGTCACTGGTTGAAGAGGCCAGTGTTTGCGGCATGTTGAAGGGTGTGTGTAAGTTGGTAAAACAACAGCAAAAAGTTTCCCAGCACACTTAAAGGCACAGGGACACACAAGGAACCCCGCACATCACAAAGGCAGCTGAGACCTCCAATGTGTCACTGCACCAAATCAGTCAAGCAAAACAAATGGCAATCAACTTATCACCATCTGCTTGACTGTTTTGCTTAAGTTGGTAAAACATCCCATTTCATGTTAAAGATTGCTAACTAAGCAGAGGCAAAATGAATAGTGACAAGCTATATAAGAAAAGGTCACTTTTTTATTTCACTGTATTGTCTGTATTGTCTGTAAATGTTGCCAGGCAGAATTGTAATCTAAGTTTTGCTGAAAGGATCAGCTGTACGCTGCCTAGTCCTGGAATGGTAATTATGTGATATACGTGCAACCTGACCTGGATTAGTAATACCTGCTTCTCCAGACTGAACATACAGCAAGTAGCGAGCCTTCTTGAGAACAAACTTGATGATTCATCTATATGTTTCTAAAGAAACTTCTGTACACACACGTGCTGGATCCTAATCTTTCTTCCAGTGTAAGGCAGTTCTATAAGGTATATCCTTTGTAGGCTTCTTCAGTCTTAAAGAGGCTTATTTAGTAAGGCAAAGTGCAGTTACCCACAGTAACCAAAAGACTAAAAGCAGATGGGCCTTTACTATTTATAGTATAGAAATGCTAAGCCTACACATAGACGAACGAAAGTGTTCACCAGCTCAGGTTAACGTGCGTGCAGTAATACATCGCCACAAACCGCAAAGGTATATAAAGATATTTAAGCTCATTGAATTTTCAGTTAAAATTAGCTAAATACCAGGTGCATTAAAGTAAAGGTTGTGCAAAGTTTTAGAGTATGTTTTGTATCTTAAGTTAAAAAAAAAAACGCATATCGCTGCCAGCATGCTGCAGAGATGGAGTCTTGCTCTCTTTGTTGAAGCTGTAGTCACTCTGCAAATGTCCGACACCCACCCTGCTGAGTCAGACCTATAGTCCTGCAAAGATTATGCCTGCTGCTGATTGGAAAGCTCTAGCTCTGACTCAGCAGTGGGCGTATTGGATACCTACGTAGACAACACTGCTTCCACACAGAGAGCAAAGATCCTTCTCTGCAAAATGCCAGCAGAGGACAGGCTTTTCTACTCAGGATGTTGCTGCTTTCCAAAAAAACTTACCTGTAAGACATTACAGAACTTTTGTTTTCTTGTATTGAATATATGAATGTATGAATATATTTAGCTGATTTAAACTAACAATTCAGTTGAGCTTTAAAGTACTTATCAAGAGAAAGGGAAGACCTGTCAGGGCTCCTTTTTTGACTGGCTATGTTTGGCTTAACTGCTTTTTGCATCATTGTCTCCAGACCAAGCATGCAGCGAATGAAAGTCACAGAAATATAGTCATTCTTTATTCCTGACAGGCTCGTTCTAAAATGGAGTTCTTTAAACCAAGATAAGTATAGTGAAGTATACACTTCCCTAACCATACAGACTTCTTGACCTCCTAATCTCTGTATTAGAGGTGATTTTATGGGAGGAACTTTTTTCTATAGGCTAGAACCAGACTAGAGCTGTAGTAAGAGATCTGCCTAGAACCTAGATGCTTGCATTACTTGGGAGTTGGGATCCATTTGAGACAAAGAGTGTATAAAGACTCTGAGGAGCTAAGGGTAAGTTTAGGGGATATGCAGGTTATATTTACTTACAGACTTTGATATTTGGAGATTGCTTGCAGGTTTATATCACACCAACTGGAAAAAAAACGTAATGTTCTTTTTTTTCCTCACCACAGTTGATGGCTGTTGCAAGCATTAAACCTCTATTCTAATTCCTATCACTCCTAGGTACTGGTCTTGGTTGTGGGGTCTACGCTGTTTTTCAATAGGCTTGCAATCCGAGACGTGCAGTAGACAATAGCAACATCCAATCTTACATATTACATGCGCTTGGCTGGTGTGTAGACAAAACTAAACGTGTATGTTAACCCTAAATCTATTAAAATGTATTCTTAGCATATTTGGCTTCATGCCTCACTTTCAACAGTTTTTTTTAAGCAAATTGTTTTTGTGAATCTGTTTCAAAGTTTTTTTTTTACTTGGAGATCATGCCAGTAACAGCACTTCTGGTTGCATTCTGACAACGCTAAGCCACTAGCACCCGCTGTGCAAACTCCTTCAGTTAGCTTTTGGACTGTTTATCTAACAGACCCAATAAAAAACCCAATAGCCAACTGAAGCAGAACACACGGCAGGCTGGCAGCTGCTAATGGCGAGACAGTGGCATATTGTTGTCAGCCTGTAAGAAACTTGGCAGCAGATTCATAAACAATTTGTTTTTTTGTTTTAGAAAATTTGTGAGGCATGATGCCAAACATACCAGAGTAAAGATTTAGTTTTACATAACATCTTATTTTCAATCATAATGTGCAAGCAATTGTAGGTAGTTATGTATCAATGTGTTCTTCCTAGGAACTGGTGTTACTTTGACCCATTTACCTATCAGCATTAGCATCATTTAAATATGTGGTGGCCATGGGGAAATAATTCCAGTTCTTGGTAAGAGTGCATTCATACCTAAAGACCAAACTCTGTAACTGCATTACATGCACATCTATTGATGCATTAAAGTGTAACTTCACTTTGATTGATGCCTTAAAGTCTAACTCCACTATCATTCTTTTGTGACATCATGCTCTGACCCATTTTATAATAGTTAAAAATTTCTATCCGGCTTCAAGAAATTTAGGAATTTAGTTCAACAGAGCAAGGTTTACAGGTTTTACCCCTCCTGAGTCAAAAGATACCAGTGCTGGAATCTACAGTGTTAGGAAAAGGTGACTATTCAATGCAGTAGTTTAAGCGGAACTTAGCATCCTCGTATTTCCCAGGAGGCAATAGTGAGAATGAGTGACTTTACCGGCGCCTAGGCAGTCAGGCTGGGGGGGTGTCTATGATATAGTTAAAAAATAAAATTCAAGCGACCCTGTCAAGGTAAATTCTGAAGGAAGGTGCCCTGCAATAGAAAATGCATAATACTTACCTCTCTGGTGGCCTGTGTCTCCTTTATCTGCCGTGTTCCAGTGTTGTAGCCTCCATCAGTCTTTAGACATAGCTTTTGACGCTTCCAATAGTGTTGGTTACCTGTGTCCCTCACCACAGAGACTGATAAATAGATATCTTGCATTGAAAATGAAATCAGAAAAAGCTAATTTTCTGATTTCCACACAAATTCCACCACAGAGACTGACACTGACTACAGCACTGGAACGAAGTGAAGGTACCAGAGAGGAGAGTATAAATGCTCTCCTATTGCAGGGCACTTTGTGTTAGGATTTTATTGTTCCTTGACGGAGTCGCTTTAATAAATCAAGTTTCACTGGTAATTGCACATACTAATTTCAAGCGATATCATCCCCCATTGGTCTTCTATATAATCAGGGTACAGTTAGAGGCCAGTCAAGCACCCTAATTAGATACTGAGTTGCCAGGGGAGGTGTAAAGTTTTAAAGTTGGAGCTCAAGCTGAAGCTGCTTAAGTTCCTTGAGAGTCTACTAACATGCAGCCTTTGTAATGCTCTTATGAGCAGGGCCCTCCTAACCCTCTTGTCTTAAATTGCATAGTAACTGTACAGATTCTCTTTACATTGTAAAGTGCTATGCAAACTGTTGGCCCTATATAAATCCTGTATAAAAATAATGACAGCTCGCTCCATCCTCTCTCCTCCTTTGCCCGAACAGGCATTCTAGTAATTAAAATAATAATATTAAACTGCAATAAATTAGTTTCACCTCCAGTAACATTTGTAGCTCATGTTTCTGCAGCAGTGTCCCTGGAAAGTACCGCTAAACGTTGGCATTTGTAGTTATAAATCCCTTTAGTTTTTGATATTATATTAAGTCTGAATTATTCCCAAATTGTGCATGTAAAATATGCAGGAATAATTATGCTTGGAAATACAATAAACATATTGTAAATCAGAATCAGCAAGAGAAAAGAATAACTATCTTATGAGAGCATCCTTATCCAGGAAATAATTACAGCTATTATGTACTTTCAGTAAACTCCTGTAAAGATGATGCAGAAATGCTAATTTATTAATTTAAATTCCACTGCCAATGGGGGACACTTGAAATAGTTGTGCTGCAATAAAGGCAAATTTGGAATGATAAATAGCTCTACGCACTGCAGTGTACAACAAATACAAGCTTGCTGATCTCACACTCTTTACGGTTCTGGGGTTAATAAACATTAGTCACATTGCCAGTTCTTTCTAAAGCTGGCCATACACCTATAGATTATCTGCAGATTTTCTATGGTCATATGGAAAAAGTGCAACAGATTCCTCCATCTACACTAAACTGTGTGGATGGAGGAATCTCCCACTGGGCCAAGCTTCAGTATCTTGCTAGCCGGCCCTGCTGGCTCTTAAAATACCTGAACAATGTCTGCATCCAATCAGATTGTTCAGGTGTTTTGAGAGCCAGCGGGGCCGACTAACAAGATACTTAAGCTTGGCCCAGTGGGAGATTCTTCCATCCACACAGTATTAAACCGGTTTCCTATGTGCCTAGCACATGTACAGTGCAATATGAGTGATTTTTCCTGAATGAAAATAGGAAACTAGATAAAATTTCCATCCTGCTCCTTCAATATTCCTTATCACTATGTTACCACGTATCACCAAACCAAACCCTAGTAACCATAAGAAAACTGAACAAATGTTCCAAAAAGGAAAATTGTTGACCAAAATTCTACTGGTGTATATCCAGCTTGAAATTACACAAAACTCATAAACTAAATCCTATGAAAGTACTTGGACTAGTCAGACCAGTAGCAAGAACTGGCCTAAATTCCTTAAAGTGACACTATACTAAATCCTAAAAATGCATTCAAATATCTTAACTATTAACAAAAATGCATCTTATTTGTGTAGCACTTGAATGTAGATCCTTAAATCATCTCTGAATTGGTGCTGAAACTGTCCTTCGTTCTGGAGGGTGACTACTTCTGTTCCCCATTGTCCCTGTGTGTGTTGTAAGGTAGTCACTGCTCCAAGCTCGCTCCCATGATGTACTACACTCTCAATGCAAAGTAGTAAACTAAACATGAGATTGTAGTCCATCACGGGAGCAAGCTTGAATCGGTGGCTACTCTATAACACACCATGGGGAACAAAAGTAGCCGCCCTCCAGAAGGAAGGACAGTGTCAGCACCAATTCAGAGAATAAGTTTAGTTTAGTGTCACTTTAAGGAATTTAGGTCAGTTCTAGCTACGGGTCTGACTAGTCCAAGTCAGACCAGTAGTGTAATAGTGTAATGGTATCCAAAGATATGACATAGTCCTATCCCAATGAACCTGTATGCTTGTAACAAGTGAGCAGGCATGTTTGTGCAGTAAGCATATATTCCTAATGCTGGTCTTATCTATTGTTTTTGGGGAATGGCCGCTGTTTGCCAAAATCCTCCCCAGATGACTGATTCTCCCCTGAGATTGATCATCCAGGAAGGGAGGGTTCTGGAAAAGTCTCAGGCTCAGCCCATTAGACATTAAGTCTCAGTCAACATATTTCAAGTCTGTTTAGCATTGAGATGTGTTTGTATTCATACTGATTAGTTGATAACATCGTAATTGTGTTGTGACAGGTTTGTGAAACATTTTAATGGACCTTAATTGATTTTCCTAGCAGTCTTACCTCAGAAAAAATGAAACCAGGTCTAAATCTGTTTATAAGCAAGATGGGGAAAAATAATGGTAAACAACGGCACTGATTTGACCTCAGGAATAAGAAAAATAAAAACCCATTTAAACATTGAAACAGCTCTGTAGGCGGATAGGTGTCATTCTACTAAGAAAACTAAAATATAAACAGGTTAAAGCTGCAAAAGTAATATGAGCCATTTTCTCTTTTTAAAAGAAGGAATACACAAGAAACATGAAAACAAAAGTTTAATTTCTGTTTTTGTTTCCACTTAGAAAAAAAAATGGCTGTCTCATACTGTAAGATTCTGTCGGCCATTTTGAGTCGTGTCATTTTCACGGTGCATGGCTTTCTTTTGGTATGGCAAGTGGTATTGGTAAAACACAACCCTCATTACTGGATGCTGGTGATCGGTCTTCTGTTGCTGTATGTGGAAATGGTGCTCACAATAACCATAACCAGGAAAGGAGAATGGAAATGGTAATTATTGTTTTCAGATCACCGGAAATGTCTTTACAATGTAAAATGTTTGAAACAAAAAAAAGGACAAGGCGAAAACAGTTTTAGGTCAGTGGTGTGGACAACCACGCTTTTACGAAAAGCTTTTTTGGTTTATTTAGATTTATTTTACATTGCATTTACAAATAAATATAGAAAGTTTCTCAAACTAAAAACACTTCCTGTTGGGTTAAAGAAAATCCATCATATTGCCCATTCATGGTTTGCTGATACTCAGTTTTGTCAAACTCCAACCAACCACCCTGTGTTGGAGCTTACATGGGATAAATCTTTTCCCTCGGGTGGGATTTTTATGCCATGGCGTTTGGTTGCCCAGGCCTGAACGCAACACCTCAGAAGGAAATTATCACCTGCTTCCCCCATTTCCAGAAGCAATGGGTACTACCGAAGACTCTGATAGACAAATGGAGAAGTGGGGGAGAGCTGGGATGGTGTGTATTAGTTGGTGGGGGGTGTCAATCCTTTAACGAAAAGAATACTCCCTATTTTTTTTATTTGCAGGCTTGCTAAGGGCCTATGCACACAGGTGTCTAAATGTAAATTCTGGTATATTTCCACACCAGGCAGCCACAGATCTTGCATACAGTCTAGCATATCAGTCAATGACTGTTTGCAGCTGTCCGTGGGTACATACCTTCCAACTTTCTGAGGTAAGAAAGAGGGACACCTTCTAACCTTCCAGCACAATGGGGGGAATTTATCAAAACCGGAGCAGACAATTCTGGAGCAGATTTGTATGGCAACCAATCAGCTTCTTTGTCTCATTTTCAAATCTTACCTGAGCAAACTGAAGAGAGATGCTGATTGGTTGCCATGAGCAACTGCTCCAGATTCTGTCTGCTCCAGTTTTGATAAATTCTCCCCAATGTATTTAGGCAATGGACACACCCTTGCCACTCCCCCAGTTGTGTAGATCATTAAGAATTGCCAAAAATGATTGGGTAAACCCAGAATTGATTTGTTTTTACCATTACCTTTTCTGTATGTTTTTTTTTAAAACAGTAAACAAGATGATTAAGAGATAAGATGAAGGTTTTAGTGCAGAATAACATGTTTGGTGGTTATATAGAACCTTTTGATAGATATCTGTACATCAGACCAAAGAGAGGGACAACTGAGGAGGAAATGGGGACAGAGGGATTTGGTTCCAAATGAGGGACAATTGGAAGGTCTGTGGGTATAAATCTGTATAGCCACATACAGCCAGTGACTTCTATGGGAAGCTGTTCTCAGCACCTGTGGATCTCGGCCAGGGGAACATACACCAGAATTTATATTATACATGCTCAGACGCTCATGTGCAATCCTCTGGGCTCAAGTATGCACTTGACATCTTATGCACTTGACCGGTTGGTGTCCTCTATTCCTAGGAATCATGATTGAACCCTGAAATTACACAAGATGTTATTTAACTGCAGGGTATTAGCCAACAGACAATGGAACAATTTTGTATGGGTACTCATGTGTGACCCCTTTCCCCATTCTATCCAAGAGTTAAAAATGTGAAAAGTTTCAGCTTTTAGAAAGGGAATGTAGTTAGGTAAGCCAGGGCAGGGGATGAAGCCATTTTCTTTCTAAGCACTGAGGCATATACTGTACTAATCACCCATAATAAATGTATCTGCGCTTTAAAAAATCCTTTTAATCATCTATCATTAGTCAATTGCAGGGCTTGCTTTATTACATACGTGCCTTATTATCCTATTACGCCAAGCCCCATTTATTAGTTGGTGGAGGTAAAACATGAGCTAGACTTTGATGTTTCTTTTTAATAAATGGTCATCATCCATGTTTAAAAGATTAAGCCATTTGCAGCTCTATTTTTTCCCTGATCTGCCTCCTGCTCAGTTATTAGTGTAGATTCAGATTTAGCATGCTCCTCAACCAGAAATGACCTCTACATGAATTTGAACGTGCAGGCCCTTTTGCTTTGGTTAGTATCAAAGGCAAGGCAATTTTTATTAACCCCCATGCCGCTGGCTGTGGCTATTAAAGCAGTCATGTGATCAGGAACCCATCCCTGGCTCCATCAATTAAACAGGGATCAGTAGCTGTTGGTGACAACTTAGCCACTGCAATGGGAGTGCCAAGTCAGCATGCTCCCAGCACAGATCAATGGACGCATATAGGCGGCAGCCCGGCGTTAAAGCCCACCTCCGGAACAGCACATATGTGTGTGAGGCCGTCGTTGAAAGGTTAAAGCTGTACTCCAGGCAAACTAAAAATATGACAGCTACTTTACCTGCCCAAGGATTTACATTTCTGTCTAGTCAGTCCTGAGATTTACACAGCCCTGCCAGATGGCACAGCCAGGTTGGTGATCTGACTTTTCTCTTCTGTAGTTGTTCAGCCTGTGAATGAACAGTGAAGGAGGAGAAGGAGACAGGCAATGTAATTTCTCTTCTGTCTCCTATTAGCATGTTTCTTAAGAGCACATGTGCAAAGCTGCACAACTGATTGGCTCCGCTGTGACTGCCGCTGTGCAAGCAATGATATGCTGTTATGCAGCAACTTCAGATCATAAAAATTAAATATTGGGTATTTAAAGTGACACTAAACTCAGGAGTTAAACCTTAAAGCTAGGTCACCCCTTTCGACACCTCATCCCTTTGAAATCAATGGGGCCAACTTAAAATGTCCAGATTTAATTTTATTCAGACTCTTGTTCCTTGAAAATGCAGCACGTTTGGTTGGAGTCAAAGGATCCCCCTTCATCAGGGCTTGGTACTACTAAATGAAGCATGTACTGGACTGATCAAATTGAAAGGATCCTGAAGGGTAATTGGTTTGATTGTTCCAGATGCTGGTTAGGGAATAATAATTGTAACTCTTTCCCACTCTATCCCAAACGAAAATGTAACATTTTGTCTGGAGTTGTGTTTTATTATAAAAGTGGGATTATAGGTAGTTTTACACAATGCTATTTAAAAAATAAAAAAATCAGTCATGTGCTGAAACTAATACATTCTACCATTGATGGCTCCCTTGTAAAAATGCAAGTTGTCTGTAGGGAAGAACTCCTGCTGGTTCTAGCAGTGTTTTTGGATTGCCTTTCTGACTGCTTCTTTGAATTTCCCACTTGGAATGTCTTCTAGGATGTTATGTCCAACACGCTTTTAACCTGCCTCCCTTGTGAGTACTATCATTTATACATTTTTTTTTTTGCAAAATAAAAGGAGTATTTGCACCAGGAAAGGCGCCTGGTGTTTTTGTTTTATGCAGTGACATCCCTTTTCTGTTACGGGGCAGCCTGCCTGGATTGCAGAAAACATTTCGGGGCTGGATGAGGTTTCTATCTGGCGCTGGTCTGTTTTTTTCGTTGCACTGGGTTCAGTCTGAACTTGAGCTCCCCTGGACCCAGAAGGAATCGTCTTTCGCTGCACCATTACATTTACAGGTCTTGTCCTTCCCCAGCCTTCTGGTTAAGATCCCCTATTGTCTTCAATAGGTGTGGTGGGCATAATCAATGTTTTATTCCTGAGATCAATGGTCACTTTGATATGCTAGAAAAGGGCCAGCTGGCTGTACACACAGGTAGTGCTTTGGGAGTGTCAGAGCTGCTGTTGAATGACAGTGTCTCACCAACTCACAGTTGTCACATATACTTTGATGTGTCCTAGTCCCAGGACTGTTAGAGTTTTTCATCAGCAAGACTCCTCAGAAGTATGCTTTACCCTTTAGCAGCCTTCCACACCTCTAGTGCGACTCCTCCACACAACCCTCGTGTGTCACAGGCTGCTCTCAGCCACCTGATGACTGGCAACACCTGACCCCAGGACTGGAGATTTCATCCCACCCTGAACTCTCAGAAATCTCCAGAGATCCAGATCCCAGCTACAATCCGGAAAAACCGGAAGAAACTGAAAGGCCAGCTTCTTCCCTACAAAACTAATTATCTTCTGGAGCCTCTCAGCTCTCTGGCTGAGAGTCCTGGGTGTTTGTGTCGCCAGCATCTTCCGTGGCATTGCCTCGCACTGCCAAAATATATATATACATATACAGTATATATATCATTTTTGTTTTTCTAGAAACGTAGGAGTTTTTCAGTACTGTGTTTGTAATTGCTAGATTTATAATCCACTATATCATTTGTCATTTAGGTTTAGTCCTATGGTCTTTCTGTACCTGGCATCTGTCATACCTTCTGTATTCATTTTGGAACTTGAGTATCTCCAAACTCGAACCTTGATGAGCAATTCCTCAACAAGCATTGTGTATGTACCAGGGGTAGGTAAAGGATACTATATGGACTTTTTCTTTTTTAATGCCATCTTTATTTCATTGCCTATATTTATATTGTTTTAACATATTAAATATTTTTTGATTCCTGTTATTGATTCCTGTTATTGAAGATTTTAAAGTGTTTAAAAAAATAGATTAAAAAAAGGCCAACACAGGGACCAACAATGAAAAATAAAAAATAAAATAAAATACCAGTAACAGAAATGTACCTAACCTAACAACTCCCAACACCTCCACCCCCTTCCCCAATTCCCTGTGCAGTAAGCTCACAGGGAGGGAACACATTCCAGAGAGGAAAAGGAACATGCTATGGCCAAGACATGACATGCTTGCCCCATTCAAACATTATTAGGGCTGCAGCTAACGATTATTTTCATAATCGATTAGTTAGCCGATTATTAAGATAGTTTTACATACCTTACAGACTCTAGGTAGCTACATTTGTAGTCCTGACGTACCAGTCGCCGAGTGTGTGAGCCTGCCGTATCGGCGCCGAGTGAGGGAGCATCAGCGTGCGGGGGGGCGTGGCTTATGCGTCCTGTGGGCACGGCGGGAGCAGCGTGCGGTGGGCGTGGCTTATGTCCGGCGGGCGCAGCGGGACGGAAACAGCGTGTGACGTGTGCTTCAGGCCGCGTTTGGAGCCCCGAACAGGGAAATCAATCGATAGCCGACGAATCGACGATCGAAAACGTTTTCAATCGTCGATTTTAATCGACTAAATCGATTAACTGTTGCAGCTCTAAACATTATATAAAAATCTGGAAAAGAGTCAAGCATGCAAAGTACTCAGTGGACAAAGTGCCAGAGCTAAAAAAAGACAAGCAGGAAAGTAGCCAGCCCTGTCTCCTTGCCCCAAGCAGGTACCAAGACTCACTCAGCCCCTGTGCCAAGATGATCAACCCAAAGGAGGTTTGGAGCCTGCTTATTTATACAAAAGACATACATACAATTGTGATAGTTATTCGAATGGCCCATGGAAAGCCAGCAATGTCAGACTTTATTCTACCTGGTTGGGCAAGCTCGATGCTCGTAGGTGGTCTTATAAAAATGTAGGGAGGAGTTGACCAGTCCTTTTCAAAAGGCTAAAGTGGATGAGCCCAGTTTCTAAACTTCAGTTCAGAATGATGGCCTTCCTTGGGTAAAACTGCAGGATTGTGAGAGCTGTTGATTGTGAGATTATTGGAGTGATACCTAATGTAGTAATCTCAAGTATAAAATAGGTGACCTCGTCCAGAAGTTCTGTTTTATTGGACAATCCCCATAAATATGGATGAAAACCAGGGGCGTCCCAAGGCCGGGTGTCACCCAGAGCGGAGACCAGGTGACACCCCGCCGTGACTTCATCACGCATGCGTGTGACGTCGCCACACATGTGCACGATGACGTAATCGCGCACGCGCGACCATCTATTTGACGCCTGCCGGCGGCCATCTTAGTGATGGACGCCGGCAGAGAGAGGAGGGGACGTTCTCCTCCTCTCTCTTGACACTGTCGGGCTCTCAATCCATGACCGAGTGCAGGACTTTTTAGATGGGGTGACATCAAAATGACTGCCAATCATTTTGGTGTCACCCCTCCAATGGTGTCACCCGGGTGCGGCCCGCCCCCCTAGAGACGCGACTGATGAAATCATCAGTTGAGTGCGAATGATATATTACTTAATGTTTAAAGAGTAATTTGAACGATTCACTACAGATGTATGTCTTCACTGACACACACAAAATTCTAAGGTATTAGTTTGTATTTTTGACAATTGCCACCTGAGTCAATAGTCTTCTATGTCTGGTGAGTCCCACATTCCTCTTTTTCACAGCTGCTGAGAGAAGTACTTGAGAAAAATTCCCACTTTAAAAGTAATTCAAGTCGCTTCTCTCAGCAGTTCTGGGTCCCATATTGTTCCACTTATTTATTAATGACATCGGGGAGGGTGTTAACAGCGATATTTCCGTGTTTGCGGATGACACCAAAATTGGGAGGGTAATAGACATGGACTTAGACAGTATAACATTACAGGAGGACCTGGATAAGATAGGGGAGTGGACATTAATGTGGCAGATGAGGTTTAATGTCGATAAATGCAAAGTAATGCACTTTGGAATTAAAAATAAACAAATGGGTTATACAATTATGGGTATGCCGCTAGGGATGTCAGAAATGGAGAAGGATTTGGGGGTCATTGTAGACCACAAACTAAAGGGTAGTTTGAAATGCCAGGCTGCGGTAAGCAAAGCTAGCAGGGTTTTGTCCTGTATTAAGAAGGGGATGTATTGCAGGGACAAGTCTATAATTTTGCCACTTTATAGATCATTGGTTCGACCTCATCTGGAGTACGCGGTCCAGTTCTGGTCACCAGTACTAAGAAAAGATGTCCTTGAGTTGGAAAAAGTCCAGCGGAGGGCAACCAAACTAATTAGGGGTATGGAGGACCAGAGCTACGAGACAAGGCTACTAAATTTAAACATGTTCACATT